GCCGAATTAACTTTTTTTGGTTCTGGTGAACATGAGGTGTGGTTTATTTTTGAAAATGTAAATCGTTCCGGTTTTGGAAAAGTGTGATGGAATGACACACATTTCCCAGCATTTTGAAACAAGGACGAACTATAGCTAGGTTTTGAAACAGAGGGAGACGGTTATTAATCCGAAGGGGTTGTATTGGGTTACTAAACCATTTTTTTTTATTAATGCGCACCTCGTCAAATGACATTAGTATCTTTGAAATTTGAATAGGAAAATAAGCAACAATTACTATGAGGCAAGACAATGATAATGCAATTATGCACAATCGATGATGACAACAATGAAATATAACTTACTTTAACAGTTCATATTTCAAAGCAGAGGAAAGTTGAAAGAAAAGTGATTTCCAAGGTCCAAAAACTATTTAAAAAAATAAATCCATCATGCAAATTTGCTTTTTTTTAAATATCGAACAAACTTAATGACTGTCCAAGTTATAAATCGTACACGCACGTTTAGTCTCTACTTTTTATTTGACTTCTTAGCTTAATTCTTTCTTCGGCAAGTTTTAAGTTCTACTCAAAAGCCATATAGAACAAATAAGCAATATATTTGAAGCAGAATGTTATTTTTACGAATTTTTTAATCATTTAACTCATGTCAATGCAACTTGAACACCAAACACAATTTTGCAATTGTATAAAGCTAGATATTTTGAAATTTGAATTTGATATACACATTCAAACACAAAAAATAAATTTCGATCTGACTGTTAACTATGTCAACACACTTTTTATTTTCTTTAAAGCATTTAAAAAATTATTTATGTCTTGGCGCCACGTTCTCAACTACAATTCAATACTGAACAGGTCTCATTCGTTTGAACAACTTTGCTGAAGATACGAATTTTTTTTTTGCTGAAGAAATAAAATTTATATCTGTTATCAATCCTGGGTTATCACTAAATGAACTGTTTTTGTCCTCTGGCGCTGCCTAGTGAGTGAATTCCCAACTAAATTGTTCACTGCAGAACGGGAAATTGTTTTCCGTACTGAGTACCAATGCTGACGCAGCATCTCCTAAACCTGGAGCCTTTGGTCCCCGGTACATGAGTTGATTGCACGATAGGTAGAGTCCAGGTGTAGGAGCTGCCTCCCTGGCGTCGGTAGCATTGGTACTCAGAACTGTAAACAATTTCAACGAACAAAAAATCAAAGAAAAAAAATAATGTAAGAAGTCGCGTCATCTCAGTACACGCCAATTATAGTTCTTAAAATATACCAGATAGGAAAACTCTGTTTTCAGCAAAGTTGTGCAGTCGGACATTATCCGGCTGGTCACTAGTTGATTCACTAGGTGGCGGTATAGGATAAACAGCTTTTTCTATTGATAACTCAGGATCTAGTTAAGATTGAAAGATTTTGCATTGAGCATTGTTGTTGAATTGAACGCAACCCGTTCTGCAGTGAACAATTTAGTTGGGAATTGACTCACTAGACAGCGCCAGAGGACAATTAAATTTTATTTAGTGGTAACTCAGAATTGATAACAGATAGAATTTGTTTTCTTCAGCAAAATTGTTCAAAATTATGAGACCCGTTTAAGAAAGAATAGTTTAGTTGTGAATTGACTCACTACAAGACTTTAGAATATGAATAATGTACTAGTGGTAACTCAGGATCGATACCAGATAGAAACTTCCTTTCTTCGGCAAAGTTGTTTAAATGGACAAAACCCGTTTAGTAGTTAGATGTTTAGTTGAAAATTGACTCACTAGGTAACGCAAGAGTATAAATAAAGTTCATCTAGTGGTAGCTCTGGATAAAGACCATATCTAAAATTCCTATCTTCAGCAAAGTTGTTCAAACGAATGAGACTTGTTCAGTAGTGAATTTTAGTTGAAAATTACCAGCACTATGTGGCGCCAGGAAATAAAGGATTTTTTATGCTTTATAGTTAATGCTTAGTAGCTAAAATCATGAATACAAATTAATAAAACAAACTTAGCATTTGCTGAGTGCAATCAGTCATATTCGACCTCCCCTTCGCTATTTGCCACTATTGTTAAGTGCTTTCTGCAAACAAATCGGTTGCATGTACCACAACGGATTGTTGTTGATGAGTTTTTTCAGTGCTTGCATCTCCCCCTATCACAATCCAGCAAGGGTTGGAATGAGTTGCGTCCAATTGAACAATTTTGAAGAAGACGCGAAGCTTCTATATGGTGTCCATCCTGAGATATATATATATATAATGTTAATGTATACTCTGGCGCCACCAAGTGAGTTTATTTGAACTTGGGTGCCACCTAGAGCTGGGACTTCAATTATCCGGATACTTCAGTTCAGTTATAATAAAATCACTTTCAGACAAACGGAATATCGTTGAATTGATATTAAGTATACAGAATATCATGCTTTCCAGTACCCAATATTGAAATAAAATAAATTGGGAAAACGTTGAGATGGTTATCAGGCGTATAGTAATTATTCAGATATCCGGATAGTGAAATTCCAAATTTATTCTCTCTTTAACAGTTTTCTTTTTAAACTGTTCTAACAATTTGTCAAAAAGTTGGATTTAAGGTGCCCATGTGACCTGATGTGGAATGGCAGATCAGTTCATAATCTCTCATTTCTCATTTCATTTCTGAAATATAAATTGGAGAAGTTTATGTGTACTCTAGCGCCACCTAGTGAATAACTTCCGAACCAAACTGGCCATTGCCAAACGGGTATTGTCCAACGGAACAACTATTCTGAAGACTGCTTCTTTCAATCTGGAATTATTCGCCGTGTACTCAATTCACGACGCGCTTGTTTACGTAATTTTTTTTTAACGCACCCGCTAAAAGGTTAAAAGAGCACTGCTTATTTACAATGGTCTCTCATTTGTCAACAATATCCATTGTCGTCGAGTATTAGTACAAGACTCTGAAGAAGTCTGCACATTGTAGACGAAATACGCGTATCTGTCAAGGTTAAGCAAATAAGGTAGCGGAAAATTCTCTCACTCTCTCATTATGATATCCATTGCCGTTGCTAGAAAATTTATCTGGAGGGGGCCTAGGGAGGACCTGATGCATTTTATTTTATTTTGTTGAACTACAGTTAGATAAAAACTCACGAAGATGCTATTCATTGAAATTGCGTCAAGGCAACTTGTTTTTGGGTACATTTTTTTCTGTGACCAATAATGTGATATTGAGGCTCACTATTATTTCAATGGTAAAACAATAAATTTGCTTATATTTATTTCATAACGACGCGTTGTTAATAGTGAGCCTCAATATCATATTATTGGTCACAGAAAAAAATGTGATGTGATGTGATGTGAATAGAACCCACCATCAGTGCAAGGATTACCTATGACTGCAGATACTTCACTGGTTGTAAAGTTCTGCCTGATGGTTTGTTGCAGCAGGGTGAAACAACTTCATTGGAGACCTTTGGAAGACAAACGACAAGATGTACGTCTATCAAGACGTGACAAGGGACTGGCAAATCTACGAACCCTTGTCCAGTCTACACATCCTTTGAAACCCTTAGGCAGCCCCCCAAACCCAGCATATAATAATGTTTGATTAATGAAATGTATTCAAAAAGGATTATTTAGAGCGAACAATCTTCAACTGCAACGTTCTCACCAAATCAATATATCCGGGAGCGTATTCCCGATGCTTAATTTTCTCTAGTCATTTTAAAAAAAATCCTCTTCCAGCGAATCCAACCACACAATAAGTAAACATCACTTTCCTTCTTCATGTCACTCTGGGCACGCATCGTGAAAAAGACCAGCCCCGATCCTTCAAGTGTACATTTTCCGATTACACGTTAGCGATGATCAGAGCCAGTTGTCTCATAAAGAGCCGTAGACAGAGATGAATAATCAGCTTGTGAATAAATGCACTATTATGTTTGGTTCTGGTAGCAGGTTGGGCAAACGGCCTCCGTAAGATTTTGACCGGATCATCAACCAAATAAAGGAAAAAAAAAACACAACGACCGACGCAAAATCGACACTGATCACTTCTTGGATGATTGGATATAAGTTTTGGCACATACTTTAAAGTATTTTGAAACTATAATTGTTCAATTTCCGGAAGGAAGAAACGCAGCTGAAAAAACAACACGTCAGATTTTCAGCGCAGCCTACTTCATGTATTGGTCACCGAAAAAAATGTACCCAAAACCAAGTTGGACCTCAATTGAAGGAGTCTTAAAAGCTTACTGATTTTGAACAAGAAATTATTATAATGAAATCACATAGCGTCCGAATTACATAAATTAAGCATCTCAAACTTAAGAAATCGGTAAGTTTTAGCTTGCTTAAACGGTCTACCGATTGGAAAACCAAATATTTAATTAACTGTCAGGGGGCCTCCCAGGGCCTCAGTGGGTAAAGCCGCAGCTACAAAGTAAGACAATGCTGGAGGTGGCTGGGTTCAATTCCCGATTCGGTCTAGGCATTTTTCTGATTTGAAAGTTTCTCGACCTTCATGGACATAATGTATGGTTGTACTTGCCACACAATTATTCTAATGCAAAAATAGTACAGGTATTGAAAGCTCTCAATTAATTACTATTGAAGTGCATCTAGAACACTAAGTTGACACCATTAAACTAATATGCAATCAACAATAAGCTTGAAATACAACTAATAAGATGAAGAAGAATAAAAGGATGAAGAAGAATAAAAGGATGAAGAAGAGGTAATGACCTATCATTAACTATTACTTAAGCTGTCCAACAAGATGAAATAATTAAAAATCCGTTTTAAAATATCGTGTGTGCAAGGTTTGAGGAAAATTAGATTTTGGATTGGTGTCCAAAGTGTTTAATTCTTTAAGACTTTGATTGATTTTTATCAGTTTTTTTATATCCTCCAGTAGCCACAATCTTAGTTCAATACCAAAAACTTACAAAGTCTTCCAGATAACCTGTATCCTAATGCACAGACCCACAATTGAGCAGACATCTAATCAAAAATGTATCCTTCTTTGCTATTTCCAGATTGGTTCAACCTCGTGGTGACACCCAAATATAGCCCACCATTATCGTTATCACGAAGAACGAATAAATATCAGTGAGAGAAAAAAATACCAACTCGCAGTGTTTGTACATTATTAACGAACACCAGCACCACCATTGCTGGAAACGGCATTTTGAAAACACGTGAACCAAAGACAAAGACGCCAGGTAGTAAGTGATTGTGTCACGAAGTTGACTTGATTATTTTTTAATTTCGACTCCTCGGTTCCCCATCGGCTGCTATTGCCACTGCATTATTGGTTGGACGCCAATGTGACGGCTGCAGACAGTGACAGCGGAAAAACAAAATCAAAGCTGCTACGTGAGCCTGAAAAATTCATAAAGTTTCCTTACTCCAGGAATCTACCAGGGAAACTTGAGAGGCACCTTCCTTTTTTTGCGAAAGTTTTCTTTTTTTTTTCGTCCGTTTATTTCCAAGATTTTTGTTTCGACTAAGTGAAAATTGATACTCGAGAAAAGTGCAAAAAGTAGGACGATCCGACCCCCACGCGCTCCTTGCCTGTATTATTTCCTACGTGCGAATTGGCTGAGGCAAGTTATTCGGCAAAGTAAACAAACACGTGCACATAATTGAGGGAAAAGTGATTTCGGATTCGGTTCGTGAGGTGTTGTCCCCCTCTCAGTCTGCCGTGAAAGAAAGGAAAATAAAGTAATTATATTCGCCAACCCAACCATTATTGCCACCTTGTTTCTATTAGTCTGCCAGGGCGGAAAGTTTAGTCAAACACGTTTAGGCTGCCACTCGACGCTGTTGGAGGAGGTGCGAAGAAATTTCCCTCCGGACGCACGCTATCGAAATTTCGGCTAATAATTGTGTGAAAACAGATGCGCGTTGGTGGGAAAACTTTTGCAGAGAGTGGAAAACATTTCAGCACGCCCGAGGGCAATAATGCTAGTGAACACTATCCCACGGCGGTAGAAAAAGGCACAGTGAGCAAACAGCACGCACGAATTCAAAGACCGACTACTCAAATGTCGAATGAATGAAACATAATGGATTACCTGGGCAACTTAAAATGGACCTCCATAGAAGATTGAAGGTCTTCCCGGTCGTCACCTTAACATGGGCATGCTTCGCTGCAATATGCTGTGTTAAACTGACGGAAGCTAAAATAGGTGAGTACTACTTTTTCTACTACTAAATATAACAGACAATGGTCGGAAACCGATGGAAATTATTCGCTGTTGATCTATATCAACGATTCTCAACGTTTCTCCACCGAGCGGTAAAGCTCGCTTAACATTACTCCTTTTCATTTGTTTTTCGCTTAGTGGGGGTACGCGAACTGCAGGTTGAGAATCGAGGATCTATATTATTACTCTTATTTTTTTTATTGATGTAACACCCAAGGACAGGGAATTTTTTCCAATATCCAATAGCCAGATCTCGGTTTCAATTCCTGATTATTGGATTCAACATCAACAGCGATGTGGCTGCGGGAAGTCGAAAAAAAGAAATACGTTTTCACCAGGAAAAGCCCAATCGAGTTTGGATTACGAGAATTGAAGTCAAATTTTACTTGCAAAAGCGTAGTCGAGTTTGTGTTACGAGAATTGAAGTCAAATTTTACTTGGAAAAGTGCAATCGAATTTAGATTTCGAGAAGTGGAGTCAAATTTTACTTGGAAACGCGCAGTCGAATTTGGATTATGAGAATTGTAGTATTGTTTCCTAAATAAACAAAAATATATTTCCACCTGGAAAAGCACAAAACATCAACAAAAACAAGTATAAATGAAAATTAACTCATTTATCATAACAATGTTGCGGACATACTGCATACTCATATATCTACTTTAACGTTCTTATTCTTATTGTTTAAGGTAAACTATTTGAGAAAGGAAGGATATTGTTGATGTAACATCTACTCACCGACGCACAAATAGATGCTACGGAGTTTGATAGTTGGGTAGGAGATGGGTTAGGATTCGCTTAAGCAGGCGATTCGACCATATTAATAGTTTTGTTTTGGAGGGGCTTGGGAATAAACCCACGATCTTCTACTCAGTTAGCAAAAGCGGTAGCGGTCAAGGTAGTTAAGCTACGGCGCCGGTGGTGTAGTGGTAAGCGTGATTACCTCTCACCCCAGCAGGCCTGGGTTCAATCCCAGTCGGCGCCGCCGGGATGTTCTGAGGCATAACATCTCTGATCACGCCTTCCTTCGGATGGGAAGTAAAGCCGTTGGTCCCCGGTTCATGAGTTGATGGGTCGATAGGTAGGGTCCAGGTGTGGGAGCTGCCTTCCTGGCACGTCGGTAGCATTGGTGCTCAGCACGGAAAACAAGATCGACGGAAAAAAACAAACCAAAGGAAGGTAGTTAAGCTCCTCAATTGCATTCCAATCTTGTTTAAAATAAAATGTTAACAAACAAAAAGGAAGGATCTCAACGGAATGATAAAATTTACTCCTATATACGGCTGATTCATCTATTATTGAATAACTAGGATTTACGATATTTATAAAAAAAAAAATCAAATAAAATATAGACTGCAGGCAAAACCTGATTATACCTAAGTAACATTTTTTTCTTGATAATCACAGACTACGAAAATCTTCATGCTTCTTGATTTTTGTTAAAGGACTGAGAATTATTTTTCAAATTTAAAAAAATTAAAATATTTTGTTCATTAAATCCCATTTGAAACTTTAATTTTTTTTTTCTCTTCTACGAAACAATAATGACTCTAAAACTTTCCCAAGAATCTGACATGTTGATATATTTTCAAAGATCTTAACACTATTTTTTTACATATATTTTTATTAAGGAGACTTTCAGCCCTGGACTGGTTTGTCTCGGTTATCTTAAAATAAGCTTGTCTGGTATTTCAAAGATTGACAATGTTGACTAGAGTTCTAAAGTAAAGTAAATAGCTCGAAAGATAAATGAATTGAATATTTAATAAATCTTAGGGAATTTTAAGGAGAACCCTTGTAACTTTCTAAAAAGAAGTTCTGAGAAAATTTCCGGGCCCCGTCTCGATGAGTCTCATCGTCGCCCACTGGTCACCCACCATAGCCGGTTGAACTCCGAACGAAGCTAGAACAGCACTACCGTTCATACTGGCGACAACGCTCTGATGAGACAACGAAACCCTACCCCAAGCTCCTCCCCTGATCCTATCCTTCGAAAATGTACCCTTCTAACCTCGAGTAAGCCGTGAGTAATCGGCCCAACTCCTACTAGACATAGAATTAAGTGAATTTTGTTACAAACAAAGAACAATGAATTATCGGCTCCGTAAAGCTAACGCGATTGAGCCTTCCAAATAAACGAACCAGATAAAAAAAAAAAATTCCGGGGGGTGCTGAAGAAGGATTCAAGATAATTATTAGCAAACTTCAACAGCAGGTCGGAGGTGACTTTCAAAAGGTTTCTGAAAAATGATCAAAGGTAAATCTGAAGAAAATACATAAGGAATTTTAATGAATATAACAACAGTAATTTATACATAGAATAAACTGAGAACGAGGTTTCATGAGAAAACCAACAATTAAGTAGAGTGAATATCAAAAATTTCAGCAGGTAGTCAAAATTTGAAGGGAATCCCAATTTAAATCCAAATTGTTTTTAGTGCGTAATGCAAAAAAATTCGCAACATCTTTATTATTATACGTTTTTGAAAAATTTGATAAATTAGGGATACTAAAGGTGTTTTATCATTTTGCTTTGCTAAATTGTCGGAGTCACAAAATATTGTAAAACTTCCTAAATTCTAATCGTTTAGAATGAATTTTATATGCAACATTAAAAGAGCTGTTATGTCAAGGTTATGCTTGGTTTAAAAAAATTATATGTTTTAAATGCTTGGTAAATAAGTAGGAAAAATTTAAAATTATATCAGACTCCAAATTTTAAAAATCTGTCACTGTCTGGTGAAAATAAAATTCAGATATCGAGCAAAACGTAACCTTAAAAAAATCTTTTCTTTGGATCTTAATTTCTTGCAAGCTTTAGATTCCTCAAACAATTCGTAATACCAATTTATCACTTTTCCACCCTGGTTAACTATTTACGATGGATTTCTTCCTAATGTTATTGAGCATGATTCCCGTCATCTTTATCAATAATTTAAAACTTGTTTCTTAGAAAATTCTTGGGAAAGTAAAAAAATAAATGTTTTGAGGGGTTTCCACGGAAAATTAAAAAGATCCAGGATTGTAAGATTGTAAGACTTTAAGTCTAACTTAATTAAAATACGACTAGAAAAAACTTGAAACTTGAAGACAATCCCTAGAGTTTTAAAAGATTCTAGCACCCTGGAAAAATTATTTATAAATATGTTGTATTTTTATACAAATTAATAAAATACCGATGAAATATGCCGAAGTATGACTGAAAATACGGATACATGGTGATTGACCTAGTAATATAAACGGTATAGTAGTGTTCAGCTAATTCCCGTGATGCAAATATCATGACACTCACTCGACACTCGTCAATGCATCAACCGACTATCGCTGACAGATCGTTTTGTCACGCAGTGAGAGGTAAAGCCATGGAAAACAACAATCACCAGTAATGGTCGCTGCTCACAGGCAAAACGTAACACTCGCTGCTAATGATGTAAAGCACAACGAAAACAGTGACGACTTCTGCAGTACGATGATGAGCAAAAGTGAAACGACAGAAGAAAATGAAAACAATGCCTACGCATTCTAAGTTCAACGACATATCTTTGTCTGATCACAAGCAAATATTATTTGAATATGAGGCTGGTCAACGGTTCACACAAATTTTTAGAGATTCTAGGAAAACAGACTGGGAGCTATATAATTCAGAGCTAGTGGCAGGAAGAGAAACGATAGCAATTAGCTTAAACACTTGTGAAGAACTTGAGAATAGTTCTAAACAACTTTCAAATTTGATCCAACATGCCTTTTATGAGAATTGCATCGAAAATGAACGCTCTACAAATAGGGATGTACCTTGGTGGAACAACAGGCTACAGAAACTTCGTAAAAAGCCCGAAAGCTTTTCAATAGGGCTAAATGAACACAAAAGTGGGAACAATATAAGGAATCCCTCACCGCTTATAATCAGAAAACACGGATATCAAAGAAGATAAAGGGTGTCCACGATGAAATTGCCACACACAAAATTGATTCGCAAAATTCGAGTTTTCATCCGATTGCCATCAAATTTTCAGGGATTGAGAAATAACTATTAAACTTCATTTTACCATTTTACTCGTATTTAATTTACAGTCCATACGCAAATGCCCGCACCTTGGCCTTAACCCCGGCCATAAGATTCTGCACAACCTGTGAATCAACCGTTTTTTGCATGTAAACCCATACTTTCTTCAGTTCCTCGACTGTCTTCACTACCTTAGGTCGTTTAAGAAGGTGCTGCTTCATAATCGCCCAGTACTTCTCGATGGGGCGGAGCTCCGGAGTGTTGGGAGGGTTGAACATTTTCGGCACGAAATTGACCTTATTGTCCGCATACCACTTCAGCACGTCCTTGGAGTAGTGGCATGAGGCCAAATCCGGCCAGAAGATTGTTGGGACGTTGTGGGCCTTCAGGAGAGGAAGCAGCCGCTTCTGGAGGCACTCTTTTATGTACACCTGTCCGTTCATCGTGTCCTGGGTCACGAAAGGTGCACTCCGCTTCCCGCACGTGCAGATGGCTTGCCAAACCAGGAATTTCTTCGCAAATTTGGACATCTTCTGAGTGCGGACATGCTCCGGAACGCTGAACTTATCTTTGGCCGTGAAAAACAGGTTGCCGGGGATCTGTTTGAAGTCGGCCTTCACATATGTTTCGTCGTCCATGATGCAGCATTCAACTTTCGTCAGCATGTTGAGGTACAACTTCCTGGCACGGGTTTTGGCGGACTTGTTCTGCTTCTCGTCGCGATTAGGGGCCTTTTGTACCTTGAACGTTCGAAGCCCAGCCTTAGTTTTGGCCTTCTGGACAAAACTTCGGCTTAGGTACAGCTTCTTAGCCACATCCCTAACGGAGGCGTTCGGATTTCGGTTGAAGGCCCCAACTACGCGGTTGTGATTTTTGGTGTTGTACGGAATACTTTTTCCTTCACTTCTGGGCTTCCGATCGGTGGTCAACCGTTCCTCGAACCGCTTAATCACTCGCGACACCGTGGAATTCGCGATTC